ATAAATAATCTCCGTCTTTGGTGTTCAATTGTAATTCTAAAGTCTCCCGTGATGTTGCCCAATTTTGTTCTTTGTTATACAAAGAAGCTAATTAACAGTTTCCCACCCGAAGAAAGGAAGTGAGAATACAGAGGGAAACGTTTAATGTTGAATCGAATGTTATTTGTTTAGTTTAATATTAAGGAAATATTGTAGATGAATAAGAAATCACAGAGCAACATAAACTTCTTGATATTGCATTGGTTTGGCGCGCCTCCAATATATAAAGTATCCATGAAGAGGTTTTATGTCACTGATTGAAAATAAAGTATTGATCGTCTATATAAAGGGAAATCTCTGTACACTAGCCTGTGAAGTATAGGATCACAACCGCCATTGTAGACTATAATCACAGCCTCCCTTATAGATTATAGGGTTAAAACCTACCTTGCAAAGTATAGGTTTCAAAGCCTCCCGTATAGTATATAGGGTCAAAGCATCTCTTGTAGAGTATAGGGTCAAAACCTCCTTTGTTGAGTATAGGATCACAGCCTCCATTGTAGACTATAGTCACAACTTCCCTTATAGATTATAGGGTTAAAACCTACCTTGCAGAGTATAGGTTTCAAAGCCTCCCGTATAGTATATAGGGTCAAAGCCTCCCGTATAGTATATAGGGTCAAAGCCTCCCTGGTAGAGTATAGGATCACAGCCTCCATTGTAGTGTATAGGGTCAAAGTTTTTCTTGTAGAGTATAGGGTGAAAGCCTCCCTTGTAGAGTACAGGATCACAACATCCCTTGTAGAGTATAGGGTCACAGCCTCTTGTAGAGTTAAGAGTCAAAGCCTCTTTTGTAAAGTATAGAGTTACGGCCTACCTTGTAGAGTATAGTCAAAGGCTTTCTTGTAGAGTATAGGACCAAACACTCTCGTGTAGAGTATAGGGTCATAGTCTACATTGTAGAGTACAGGGTCAAAGCGTCATCACATTAGGTACTGTTGCTGGAGTGGTTTCTGTAGCAAATAGATTTGACGGGGTGGAATTGCTAGCTCTGTGACCAACCAGTTTTAAATCCAAAGTTGTATTAGATTGGTTGCAAGCAAGGCCGGGGAGCCTAGCTATAGAAAGAAGAGATGGATTGATAACTTTCCAAGAATATTTGTGTGAAAGCGAACGCAAATAATACAACACGAATTTATACTCGGCCCGCTACTCCTACCTTCAGCGCTGATAACCGCTATGCGACGCGCATCTCTCTTTAATTAATAGAGACAATGTTAAAATTATACAGCCTCTGTTTCCATAATAGTTGTTACAAGAATTGCTCTGAAAGTGATATTTCTACTTTATTATGTTAGTTCACGACATCAGAGGTGGATATTGAGGGTATAATAGTAGAGGTGGGAACATCCCTTCAATAACCCGTAATTATTTTGCCATGTTACAGATAGTAGTCATAAACAATGGCATCTGTGATCAAAGAGTGTATGAAGCAAAAGTATGTCAGTGAATTCCTCCAAGCGGAAAAATTACACCTATTAACATTCATCGATGTTTGATGAACGTTTACAGGGACCAAACAGCGGATGTGAACACAGGCAGAGGGTAATGCGTTTCAACAGTGACTATATCGCTGTGTTTGATAAACTCTGCACAGTTTTCAACCCACAACATATAGAGTGCTTCGAAATAGCATAACCAATGATGGTACATGTAATATTATTGGTCCTAACCTGTTATCTCGGCTTATGCCATTTTTCCAACGCCGTAACAGAGCTCCCCTGGACCTTTTCTATAAATATTTCCATTGTAATTGTTCTGATAAACTTTCCTCTTTGGTACCTAGACTTTATGAATTTAAGGATACTACTAAATTGGTAGCAAGGTCTCATCATTTAGAATTGAAATGGCTAGATGTTAGCATAAATTCTCTGTTAACAGATTCTCCTCTAGCAGTTTTCGTTTATGGAACTCTCTTCCGGCTTCTTGCTTTCCAGTTAATTTTGATCTTCAAAACTTTTAACGCAATTTCAATAGTTATCGTCTGTCTTTTATCCATGTTTTTTATTGTTCTCTCTCCTTAATATTTTTCTTGTATTCTCTCGCGCTTGAGTCTTAGTGGCTTTACTGCCTTGATTGGGGGTGAAATGATTAAATAAAAACTATTTGGAAAAATAGTATTTTGTAGCTCTACATTTATAAGAGTCCGACCAAGCCGAAAATGGACTACTGTTGTCATATTTGGGCAGGAGATGCCCAGACTCCACTTTTCAATCTGTTGGAAAAGAATTATTTTCCACGCGTTAACTTCTCTCTCACAGGCGGGATGTGGCGAGTTTTTCACTGCTCTATTGCTACTACCATGGAAAGTGCTCGGACGAACTCCGTCTCCTGGTTTCATCAGGTCAATTCTTCACGGCTAGGACTCACCATGCCACTCACATAAACCACCCACATTTCCTCGATCTTTTCCATCGGCGAGAAGTAAGTTCCACTCAAACAGCTTCTTCCTGCGAACCACTACTCCATGGAACAGAGGATGTTTTCCCAATCACGACAATCTTAACCTCTTTAAGTCTAGAGTCAACCGTTATCTTCCTCTCCTATCAATATAAACTACCCCTTAACTTAACCCTTTACCTCGAGTGGCCCTCGGGCCTTGTACAGGGTGAACCTTACCGTAAAATAAAAGCTGAAAACTTGTTCAAACCAACGGTGTTCATGTGTTTAATTTCCATGGAAATAAATAGGAGGCAATGAGGCAATACTACCGAACATTTAGGGAATGAAACGTGTATGCAAATGTAACAACTATTATGGGATAGAAACAGACGTAATCTTTTGTCAATATGCTAAATGTTAACTGAATAATAATACACTTTTTTTAAAAATATTTTTGATCGTTATTTATTTATCTCACGAGCCAGTAGATCGTCATGTTGAATTTTTCCTGGTATCTATCTGGTCAGTGTTGTTATTTGATACTGCTCGTCTCCTTTCCAAGCAACATTCAGCAAGTTGCATTGGCTGACATGGTACCAACAGCATTCACTTTCTAGTTTTCAACAAAAGAACGCTGGGAACTTTTGCACACAGGTAATATTTTATTAAAAGATGACATACTGTATTAATTTAATGGCAGCTTCTACTCTGAATTTCTTGAATGACGAGTTATCATTATTCACATTCCGACTATTGTTCGCTTCTGTGTTAAAGATGAGAATATTAATCTGATTTTAAATAATGTAGTTTCTCCTTTGTTATATTTATTACAATGGATCGTTTTTCTGGCTTTCATCATTTAGTTCAACTATCTACATATAAAAAACAGAGGATGTTTGTGTGTCTGTGGGATACTTTTTCACTCGAGATCCATCCATCCGATTTTGACCAAACCTGTCATATACATAGTACAGTGTAAGGGATAGGTTCTTAGCGTAAAAAATCAATAATTTAAAAAAAATCAATAATCGATAAAACCTATCAAAAATCGATAAATTCAACTTTTTTTCCTCTGATTTCGTTCAAACTCGGTATGTAGGTTGCTTACATCATGATCTCATTTTTATTTATACGCCACTGCACAAATCGATTTAAAAACAATTTTTAAACTAAAAACTCCCTCAATTTTCAAGCAATCTAATACAAACTTCACTCCATTGTAGCCAACAATAAGTTGATTGTTTAACAGTCATTTAACTTGATAATTGAGTCCAACCATATAGTGAAAACCCGCGTAAATAGCGAAACATGGTGATTTTTACTGGTTTCTTTCTTATTTTTCGTTAATCTTTCAACCAATTTTCATCAAACTTAACAATTGATTTATAAATACATCCTCTTTTACATCCCTGGTAACACTCTGACAAATTGAATTTCAAAACCCCAAAATAATTGTGGTCTGAAGTAGGTCTTCATGTTATCTGTTTTACCCCTTCATGTCCTCGGCTAACTTCGATTGAATAAATACAGACTACTTCTGTTATATCAGTAACTGCATTAATTCAAAATGTTTTTTTTTTTAATAAAAGTACTTTAAAGTAATTGAAGAAGATAGACTCTATTACATCTAAACATGATGCTGTTTTTTCTCCATTCTAATTGAGTGCTTTTTCTGTTCGACTAGCTGGGTATGGCTGCTAGTGGTATTATAAGTGAAAACTTTTATTTCAAGTTAGAAAAGATACAAAAAGAATATCCACCAAATCGATATTATTTTATAATACTGAACAGGCTCCTGAAAGGATGCTTTCCCAATCGTAGTGATCGAGGAAGCATCCTTTCAGAAGTATAAACTTCTTATTTTAAACGTTATATTTAGTAGATATACGCGTTTGAGTAGAAACCCCTTGTATTTCAAACTGTAAATCTGTTTACAGACATCTGGCACTGAAGTGTCTTAACACATGGGTCGGAAACATTTTGCTGACTATGTGCCGACTCAAGGTTTTAAAATCATTCAGTGTGCATACGTATTTTTATACAAGTCAAGGTCAGTATATCTGTTCTAAAATATATTTTATATAGTTATATATACAATAATATGTAAACCACATTAATAGAAATAAACTGTTTTTAAAACTTTTTTAAAAAGTTTTTATTATTAATGGGAGTTCAACGAACGCAGTTTTGAAACAGATAAATATCTTCTTTGGGTTGCAGTAGTTATTGGTTCGGACTTCGTGATGTCATTTGTGGCTGCGTGCGATTAAAATAGATATGTATGTAGGGGGAGAGAGAAGGAGATTTGCTAAGCTCAGTTTAGTCTGGTATATGGTTAAATGAGATAAAATTGGTCGCCCAGCAACCACCTACATTGCCCAGCTATATTATGACATAGAATGCCATCCTGATGACCTTCAAGCAGGACCGTGATGGTTGACGTGATAAACTCATCATGAATGTCCGAGCTACCTCGACTGAATAAATATAGGAAACGGAAGAAGTAAGAATTTACCATAAAGGGAATATTCTTTAGTTTCGAAAATCAAATCCTTCGCTTTTAACTGGGCTCATATACCTTAGCCATCAAGCAGAGAGAGAGAGAGAGAGAGAGAGAGAGAGAGAGAGAGAGAGAGAGAGAGAGAGAGAGATGTTAGAAAACTGAAAGAAGGGAAGGAAAGAAGGAAAAGAAATAATGAGTAAATACTACAACAACAATAACAATAATGATGACGATGATAATGATGATGATGTTATTGTGCCAAATTGGAACAAAAAGAGTATAAGCAATTGGTAAAGAGAATCCACTGGGAAATATACCGTAAATAGTTCATAGTGAAAGAGAAATGGTATGAATATCAGTCAGACTTTGTGGCAGAAAAATGGCTGACACAAGATATGATATTTCTCTGTTCAGATAGATCGTGTTATTGAAGCACAAAGACCCGAACTTATTATTACGGATAAGGAGAGCAGCAAGTGTTGAATTATTAATGTTCCGTATGATACAAGAGTGGACGGCAAAGAAACTGAAAAGATTGAAAATATTAGGATCTGACTAGGTAGTTAAAGATGCTATGGAACATGATTGTTGAAGGGTAATGGGTGCAATTGGAACACCACCTAGAAACTGGAAAGAATGTTTGTAGGAAATTGGAATTAAGACGAGTATTGAAGATCTCCAGAAAACTACCATTATTTACTCTGCGAGTATTTTCCGAAAAGTTGTTTCATTGTGAGGAGTTTTGTTGACGCCATGACTCAAGAACAGAATTTTCATTGACTATGTGCAACACCAACGGTTACGCCTAATCAAACATGTCGATCACAAATTACTGGAGTGTAAAACGCGTTCAAGGCGGCCAAATTTTTAAAAACAAAGCACTCAATATAAAAAAGAACAGCAAAAACGAATAGATAAATAAAGGTTCAAATGACTTAAAGTTTCGCAGAGACACAGATCCGCTCGTCATGGTAAGATGAATCTACTGAATTCATTAATTTAAATTAGGTACTGCTAAAAATGAGCGTGCATGATGAAAAAATTCCCCCCAAAAGTTTTATCATTAAAATTTTCATGTTATTATTAAGAGATCAAAGAATTTTTTTATTATCAAATTGTATTTTAATCCTTTTTAGAACCTTCGAATTTTTGGTTAAAAACTTTGATTTTCTTGCATCAGTGGGTGACCATAAATTAGTATGGGGAATTCTAGAGTGTTTTTTGTGGAGAAAAACACACTGATTTAGAAATTCTTGCAAAAATCAGATAGCTTTTCGACACTTTCAGGACTTATTCACGAATGAATTATTTTGGAAATGTTTCTTTTTTAAAATATCTTGGTAAAATATTCTTTTTTACGTCTGTTATGCTTGTCGGAGTTAACTCCTCCTTCAGTCCGTTAACCCTTTCACCAGGGGTCTCTCTTCCCTGGCTATAAATAGCCGCTGACCTTTGGCCTCTATCTCTTTTTCCTTCAGGATTTCAGCTATCAACCTCGAAATGTAGGCGCAAACAAGGGATAGCGTGGAAACACGCTAAGCACAATACACACACACGCACGCACATACAGAATATTCACACACGCACGCACATACAGAATATTCACACACACTTCGTCCTTTGTACTGTTTCCATGTATTGTAACTTGTTATTAATATATAATTGTATATACATATATTATCGGTCTTGTGTTTTGTTTGCTTTTCTTTGCCTTCTTCTTTGGACTTAATCAAAGTCCAACCTTTTTATGTAGTTGGGCTCGGTGGGCAGGAGTATCTGAACCATACATGCGTTTCTTCTACGTCTGACTTCTATCAACAACATAACCGCTACGGCCCCTCTACACGCTATACATTTTGAATTTTATGAAATTTCGAGAAATTCATTTTTGTAGAGCTCACTGCTTACATTAGTTATAAGCACAAGTCATTGGAGAATTTAAACAATTTTTTTTTTTTTCCAAACAGAGCCCCTAGAGAAAATCATTCTTTGAATCATAAAATAAAAAAAATGCAATAACACTAGAACATTATTATTATTATTATTATTATTATTATTATTATTATTATTATTATTATTAATTAGGAAAATCTTTTAATTGCTTTTATGAATAAAATAACTTATGGACACTATTGTTTTAAGAAGTTTTTTTCGATGAATAATGAATTTTTACAAGAATTTTTACTTTTTAAAAATTTAATTAGAATAATTTATAAACTTTTACAATTCTGTATTAATTTGTAGCGGTTAGGTGATATTGTTAAGTAAAAACTGTTTACTAATCATATATGGAAAAGCTTATTACAATTTTAAAAAGAATTTTGAATATTTTTGTGCCTGTTTGTGTATAAACGTGCCAATTTTTGTAAATACGGACTTCCATACACAACATTATCAGAAAATGAGAACGGTAACTACAGTAAATTTAAAATTTATTGGTAATTTTCTAACATTTCCTCAACAAGCGTCTTCGTAAGTATGACTATAAAGCCAAAGTAACTAAAATTCAATAAAGATTGAATTAGATTACTTAGAATATTTTCCTAAATTTTCAAGATTACTGAATAGTTAAAAAGTATATATAAAAAAGTTGTTCACGTTATATTCTTGCTGTAACACACTCGTTTGTATATGTTTGTATTACTGTTTCTGTTAATATATTTGTTTAACTCGATTCCTCTCTTGTGTCTTTATTTCTGGCCCTATCAAGGCTACAACATGGAGTTATTTTCACACTTAATTATCATATTTTTAGCAAATAAAATTTCTGGAGAAGCAGGGAAAATGAAAGATGACCTCCAAAAATGAATGTACAAATGATTTCGGCCATCTCACACAAACTAAGTCAGATGTTATATTAAAACAAAAAATGTCTGCAAAAAAATATTATATAATGTTTATTTCAAGTTAATGCACATTATCATTTAGTGTGGCTTGAATAATTGTTTCAGTGTGCCTGGGATGTGGATGCGTACAAACCCTTCCCCATCTTCACAGTACTAGATACCATTCCCTGTGGTTGGGATCACATAATTTAAGATCGCGTGGATTCTTCTGATGAATCCTACTCATTAGTTCTACGAACATTTGATCAATGATTTAAGCCATAGCTCTCATCTGGCCAATCTTTCAATACAGTGATACATCAATCAGTCTCTGTTATTTTGCATGCGATCTGTGATATGGAGCTCCGTAATGCTAAAAAAAAAATAATCTTGCCTCCATCCAAGTCTGGTATCAAATGTTTCTTTAGCAACAATATGAATTTTGTACTATTTAAACTATCGTCAATTTTTAACCAATTTTCTTGAACCATCCATTTTTATGCAGCCTTAACGCATCAGAATCTTAGCCTCGCCAAACTTCACAGTTTTCTTTGTGCATCGTGGGTTATTTCGTTTTCTGTCAGTCTTCTGACAGGTTCACACATATTAAAATGCAGCTCCATGTTCGTTTCAATGTGATCTTATCCCAAAGCATCTGCATCACACTTTTTATACCGCTTTCACCAACTTAATGTTACCTTCAAATACTTTTTGTTTAAAGATGATTTCTTTATTGAAATGAACCTCTTCAGTATATGTTCTTGAAGGATACACTTAGTGTTATCTACCGACGCCATATTAAACAAATCACACTCATCCATCACTTATCTCTCAGTCACTTTTCGCTGAGCTTTTTGTTGTTTTGATCAGTCTCTATATTATACCTATGTTGCAACTTTCGAACGCGACCGTAGTTTAGTCGATTCAAATCTCTTCCAGATCTTTGAGACTTCGTGGGGATTTCTGAAATGCTGCTTCTTGACATGCCAAGTTCCTTAGAGATTGATCCCTGGTTTATACACTTGGCCATCTTCACTATCTTCATTCTGGTTTCTTTGGAAATTTTCCCCACGATTTCAAGTAATGAAAAAATGAAGGAATTCGATGTTCGTATTTACCCTATAATCGCCCTAAAATTAGCAGTGGAACAGAAGAGATGGCTGAAGAATTTTGTGAAAATGACTCCATCTGTAGACAACACAATAATAATATCCATTTATTATAAGATATTATAATACTTATAACATCCATATGTAAGATGTTAATTATTAGAAATTTACTATAGTTTAAAATGGTCGAAAACCTTTGTGTAATTATACGATTTTTCATACATCCTTAAGAGACAGATAGAATCTTTTTCCTTTTAATTTAATTTAATGGCCAGGGTTTCTTAGAAATCTTATCTCCAGTCCATCTTTGGGTCAATTTAATGACCAGGATTTTTCAGGGATCTTCTCTACAGCCTGCCTTTGAATTGTCAAACAAAATTTTGTTAGTGATTTTAGATAATCATAAAAGTAGAATCCTTTGAAAAAAGGATCACCCAAAAGCTGAATGGGTAATCTCCTTTTACGGAACACAAGTGAACGGATAGGGGTGGTGAGACCCTAGCCAGTATCCATATAATGAGTCAGTCAGTCAGGAAGTCAGCACTGAGTGAGAAAAGGACCAGCAGTAAGTAAGACGTTCAGGCACTGAGTGTAAGGGTTCTTTTCCCGTGGCCGGAAATTAGTAAGACAGCAGTTCACCTTCTCAAAGCCGAAGAAAAACCTTGGGGATTAAGCTTGAAATTGTATTGTTTGATGCTTCCCAAACAGTGTCTTGAAAAGCATTTGTCATTCTTTGTTGAATTTGATCACAGCCAGTGAAACAAACCTGTGAACATAGCAAGCCGGGTAAATACACATACAGCTGACCTTGGATGTCATCACAGCTTGTGTAGTGACAAGCGGAAGAGCATCATCACATTGGCACAGTAGTGTACATGGAAAATACCATGCTTGATTCTGTCCATATTTTGTACAATAGCAGTGAAATTGTTTAGCTTTATAAAAAATTGCAGATAACTTGTGGTAGTAACCAGTGTGTATAGTTATATTTTTAGGGCAATGTTTTGAAGACAAATGAAAGTGGTTATAATGTGTTGTCATGAGTTTATTGAACAGCAATGCTACCACGTGCTTGTTCATGTTCAGACAGGAAGTAAACAAGTTTATAATGCCTTTTGACTCAATGCATGAACATGTTTCCAGCCATCAAGAAACAAGGTCAATATTTAAGTGGCCATATTCTGGTGCTCCGTGTACTACTGACTGTAACAATGATCACTACATCTAAACTTATGCCCTGCAACATGCCCATACAACTGCAGTCAAACT